TAACAACATTCATCTGACAGCTGTGTTTAAAAACAGAGTCAAACACCAGTTTTGATTAACTACCTTTCTCCCCTTCCTAAAACACTTCCAGACCTTGTGTTAAATACCCGATGGGCCGAGGCATTCCTGCTGTTGGGATGCACGGMTCAGCCAGGCTCCCACACACCTCCAGGCTGCAGCTCTATTCTGGGCCACTGTGCCCACGCCTCAGCAGGTTGTTTCATTTCCAGCCCACCCACTGGTTGGTCTGTATCCTTCAATCCTGCTGCTTTTGCTTCCTTGCTTGAATCCTCTGGAGTAACCACTCATTTGGCTTGGATGTGGTGGGCTTCTATGGGGCCATCCTAATAAAAGGGTTAAAATTCCCCTCCCTTGCACTTTGCCTTGTTCTTAAATCCCAGTGTTTCCAGCACACTTTTTTTGCCAGGGCTCTTAATTTTCCTGGTACTTTTTTCACAGCAAGAAACCCTATAAATTTTCTTTACAGTTTCCTGTATTCCTGGCAGGAGGAGCAGAGGTGTAGGGACAATGAGAATGGCTCTGCGGTAAGCTGAGGAGGGAAAGGTGGGAAATGTCTTTATACAGGCTGCTAGAGGAATTTTGGGTTTATAAAAGCAAAGCGTTTTGAGTAAATGTTCCTGGTCCTAAAGATTACAGAGCAAAAGTTGAAAACCATGGCTGAAGTTCTTCCCAAGGGCTCAGAAGCAAGACAACCATGAGAGAGAATTCTACATTTCTTCAGCAAATATGGAAATTTCAGTATTTATGAAGATTGGATGGTGCTATTGCAAAAGGCAACAGTATTTTGGAGGGATTTTATAAATATTTGCAAGCCTGCTCTATATGCTGTTACAGATGTAAATATAATCTTTAGAAAGCAACATTTTCTGCAGGATTTTATCCTAAACAAAGGGAAATAAAGTGTAAATAAGCCAGCGCTATTATTTTCTCTCCCTCTAAATAAAAGCACAGGTTTCTCCTGTTCCACTTAAGTGACACTGTGCTTGAGGTGAAGAGAGAGGAATATATTCCTAACCTGTGCCTCATGTATTAGTGCTGGAGGGCATTTCCAGGTCCTTTCCCAGCAATGTGGACTGTCAGTTTCTCCAATATCTGGGTAAAAGTTTGGCTGTTTGCATACAAAAAAAATGAACTACTGCAGAAGTAGTTTTTATATTGTAGAGAAATTATTTCAGAGAATAATGCCAAGTAAGCTGTTTATTGTAGAGAGATCTGTTTTATAGCATAAATCAGAGTTCAAAAATAAATATTATTCAGGAAATCAGAAAGATACTCTGTTTTAGTATTCCAAGCACAGTCGGGTTTAGGGCTGTGCCACTATTATTAATTATTATTGTTATTATTAATAATGGCACTTAATGCCATGGTTTAGTTGACAAGATGGTGTTTGGTCAAAGGTTGGAYTTGATCTGGGAGGTGTYTTCCARCCTTGGATTCTGTGATTATCCTGTGTTACAGGGATAAAGTTCCTTAAATAACATTTCCAGGTAGCTCTCCACGTTTGAGCTGGATCAGACTCCATTCTGCCAAGTTAACAGGTAGGGGAGTTTTCCTGCCTGGAATACTGTGCACAGCCAGGCTCTAAATTGGGATGGTGCAGACCCAGGTCTTTGAATGTTGTTTTCCAAGAACGTATGGAATGCAAGGGCTCTGTTGCCTGGGTGACAAGGCAGTGTCTCTTAGCAAGGTTTGTTTCAGATAATGAAATCGGAGATGGGAAAGAGTGACAGATCCAGTTGTTTTTAGCTCTTAGGAGTATCCCCCATGAACATGGGGATAGGGAAGCTGTGTGGGAAGCTCCTGGGAAGCTGTTCCAGGAGCACTGGCTTCTCTCTTGGACAGGAAGATTGTGTAACTCAGAAATCCATGGTTATCCACCACTCAGTGGGATCAGAGCAGGGCTAAGAGTGACATCATGGACAYGCAGTGCTTGAGTTGGAGAGGAACTGTTTACAAGGGAATGGAGTGGCATAGGGGAATGGCTTCAAATGGTCAGAGGGCAGTATTAGATGGGATATTGGGATGAATTTTTTCCTGGTGAGAGAGGTGAGGTCCTGGAACAGGTTGCCCAGAGAAGTWGTGGATGCCCCATCCCTGCTAGTGTCCAAGGTTAGGTTGCTCCAAGCCCCTGGGAGCAACCACCTGGGATAGTGGAAGGTGTCCCTGCCCATGGCAGAGGGTAGGACYGGATGAGCTTGAAGGTCCTTCCCAACCCAAACTATTCCATGAAATAAAATATGGTTGGAAATGGCTATTTGGAGATTAGCTCTTGTCCTGGACTTACTGGAACAGTCACTCTAGGAATAAGTTCTTCAAAACAAGAGTGAGTGGTGTCCTCGTTTGCTTCAGACGAGCGAGGGGGAGGAAGACTTTGCACTCGTGAGGAGAAGTGGGAAGGAGCAGTGAATTTTAACGTGGATGCTATAAATGACAAGCTCAAACTCCAAATGCAAGTAATTGTAGCTCATCTCTGCACACATGRAGAGATCTGAGCATGGGAATTGARAAGGCTGAGTGAAGCAAGAGGAGGGGACTGAACCTCTTCTTCTGTTGATCTGGATCCTCATAAGTTAAAACCATTTTTAAAAATACTCCTGTTAGTGATAAGATTGGAGAKGACATTTAACTTCTAGGAAATAGTGATTTCTTGCTTTCTTAGCTTGTAAAAAATATGCTTCCTTGTAATGCTGGTGTCTGGGCTGTCACTTGAGCAGAGAGAGGGAGAGGGGTGAAGAAAGTCCCCCCAACACAGRGTTGAGCCCCAAAATCATGCAATTCCCAGGTATTGCCTGCTCCCCTCCCCCTTGCATTAAATAAGGAGTAAAACATACACATCCTTTAGAGTTTCCATGGAGCTCAGTTGCTCTAGTTGGATTTTCATCATTTGTGCTTCATCCTTATTCGTGTGAGAGTATGTGGAGCTGAGAATGGATCTTTGCTGTGGTCAGGGGTTTGTAGTTATTTCTTCACCTTGCAGAACTTGGGAGTTGGAAGCACCCAGGGATAAATTCTTGTTGTGAAGGCTGGACAAGGAATATGTTCCTTTTGGTTTTGTCCAAGATAAGCTCACCTTCAAAGTGGCCCAGAGAAGTTGTGGCTGCCCCATCCCTGCTAGTGTCCAAGGTTAGGTTGCTCCAAGCCCCTGGGAGCAACTACCTGGGATAGTGGAAGGTGTCCCTGCCCATGGCAGAGGGTAGGACTGGATGAGCTTGAAGGTCCCTCCCAACCCAAACTATTCCATGAAATAAAATATGGTTGGAAATGGCTATTTGGAGATTAGCTTTTGTCCAACATAAGCTCACCTTCAAAATGGGAAGAAAAAAGAAAATAGTGAACAACAGATCACATTACTTAAGAAGCAATATCTACTATTTTTAGGAGATTAATTCAGTATTTCAAATACAATCTTCTCACTCAAGGACATCCAACTTCATTAGAGACTTTTGTGGTAAATAAACAAGGACCTTTTTCAGATTTTTTTTCTGAATATGGAGCAAAATGGACTGGTCTGCCCTTTAGGCTTGTTTCCTTCTGTTGAAATATCCTGTCTGCCTTGAGGATTCTAACACAAAATGGGAAGTTGTGTTCTCCTATTCCGCTCTTGGACTCCTCTTCCTGTGTTATATTCCTTACTGGAAAGGCTTCATCTAAACAGATGGGAAGGGAGGTTATTCACAACATGCAAAGAACAAGAGGTRTGAAGAAGGGTAAACATCTGACAGATATTTGAATTTCTCTATGCTAAAATAGGGCAAGTCACGCTTGGAACATGAGATACCTGGGTCTGGTTGCTGTTTTGTAGAAAGTTTTTGCTGTAGAGCCTCTATTTAAATGTTCACACTGAATGCAAGTTTGTAGCTGTCTGCCAGTGATGAGACCAATCTGTGAGGGATTAACATGATTTATGGGGAAATTATTTGTCTCTGGTAACCAGTGAAGCCACTTGAGATGTTTTGCAGTGTTTTCTGGTGTCAGGARTTGTTTTTTTTTWWAAAAATCATGCRTCTAGGGTCTCTAGCAAGGTGTGTTTCTGTATCTCAGATGTGATACACTGATTCACTGGATCGAGGTAAGCAATTTCTGAGCATGATTCTCACTATAAAGATATCAAAACTACATTTCACTGCAAGAATATTGCAGTTTATAGTACTCAGGGTGATTCTGYAAAGGATTAATTAGCATAACTCTTAATGAGACAACTTCTATTGTCTTCAAATCAGAATTTAAGTGAATATTTTTAAGACTAGTCTGTACCAATTAATAAAAATTATTTATGTGGGGACGTATTTCTCCTTCAGTATGGTACAACAAAATGCTTTCTCTTTTCTACTTCTGAGAGTTTAGTACRACCAAAAATACTAACCAAGTATTTTTTGTAACTAAACCTCTCTGTAAGCACTCACCTGCTGCATTTCCAGTGTWTGGATATCCAGTTATCCAATATAGCATTCAGTATTTATTACAAATCAGTATTGCTTTGATGTAATTATTGTCTTTTTGCTGGTTTTGAACTCAGTCCCTTCCGGGGGACTGACTTCCTCAGTTTCCATTCTTTTACATGTCAGCAAGGGGCAAACTTTTGGAGTTCTGTTTTCCTGTCACTTTTCAGTTATCAGTGGTTTGTAGATCCTTGATAAAAGCACWATATTGAATCTTTAAAGGTAATTATACCTATTGGAATGCTATTAATAGTGTTTAGAAGGGATCATTGCAGTAAATCTGCTTTAGCCTTTTTGTCAGCTGTGTTTTTTATATAATATTGTGTAATACCCCTGCAAACACTGCTACCTTTAAATAGTTTGGTTTGCTTTTAAAAGACAAAGGGAGGGAAGACAGAAAAGGACAAATCTGGGTAATTTCCTTATTGAAAGATGTTTTTTGTGGCTCTTAAAAAAGTAAAAGTGAATGAAGACATGACAGAGAATAACCCCCACATGTGCAGTTCCTTATCTGCTAACCCTCTCTTATTTTTCCTGCAGGAAATCCTGGCTGAGCAAAGTTGGAAGCCCAAGTTCTCGCATCGATAAAACAGATTTTTCTAATGAAAAGGARATTTCCAAGCTTGACTTCTCAGAATTCAACACTAGATACTAGCAGGAAGGAACCTCACTAAGCAAAAAACTCTGACATTTCTGCTGCATGATGTTTTCTGTGCCTCCATCAAATGTCACAAGAGCATTTGGATGCTTTCTGTCCTAGGGATAAACATTAATGCTCCCTGTTCTCACCAAGTAAGAATTCCTGGTTTCTGTGTTAGACATCTTACACCATGAATGTCAACATTWAGTATCTAAAATGCCAATCTCTAATTTATTGCAGCATTGAAAGACAGATAAAATCTTAGATGTGCTTGTGGTTATTTGTGCACAATGAGATTTGTTACATACAGCCAGATGGTACCTAATCTTTACACTGTGAGTCATGTTTTAGATGCAAAATAATAATACATTTAAGTTCTACTGTTGGCAAAAAAAAATAACTCTAGAACTGAGAACACTGAGAGTTCTATGTAACAATTCTGTTACAGACCAGGCTCTTTGTGATTATTAATTAAGTTGTAGTGGTAATTTAAAATAAATATATGTTGTGACAAACTGGGATTGTATAACCAGGTCTGATTTCAAATTCTCCATAATATTTCAGATAAATCTTGTTCCACGGTGATGAAACATACGGCCTCTCACCCTGATTTTTCTTTGTTTTCCTGTAACTTATGTCTATTCTGATTATAAAAGATTTTTAAATCTCTTTGCTTTCTTGGTATTCTTACTAAAATGGACGATTTCAGTGATTTTCCTTACGAATGTGTATTTGCTCCTGAGTTCAGACTGTGTGGTGGAACCTGCACCCTCATCCATCATCTGAAGTCCATGCAAGTCCTGAGCCATGTGTTTRTGATAAATCCTGGATAAGTCTGATCCATTGTGGATCCAGTTCCCATAWCCAGCACTCTCTCCACAGTCACCTTGGAGTCAGTCAGGGCTGGATTAGACCCATACCCTCACTCCTGCAGTGCTTGTGGTTTGGGATTAGAACATTCCAGGAGACTTCATGAGGATACTAAAGCTGGTGTTCCCACTGTCTTCTCTGTCCTCCTTCATGGGATAGGTGGTGTCAGTTTGGGCAGCTATACCAAATCTGCTGTTCTTGGTTTGAAACTGAAGAAAGACATTTCCTAACTTAAGCACTGCCCCTCTTCATCAGTGCAAGGTGTGCTTAGAAAGGTATTTTTGCTCCCCACTAGATAGRTTTGCTTTGGGCCTTTGCATTACGCAGTAAAATCTCCTTTCTAGGATTTGCAGRAGCTACTTATGAATTGTTCTGTGATTATACACAAACCTCCATTGTTGAAGTCGTGGTCAATAGCTCTTGTTCATCTCATGGTAAATGGCAGACTTCAGCTGTAGTGGAAGCTCAGTAGCTTTTCCATCCTCCTGGAAAACTGTATCCTGCCCAATAAAAGTAGTTTACATTTTCCTTGGAGCTACCTRGCAGAAAATACCCCTTTGTTCAAAGATTTTCCAGCCAAGTGTTCTGCTCATATTTTGACCAATAAGGAGAGAGGGAAGGCAGAAAACAAAGGGAACATTGGATAGGGAGGAAGAGCTGCCAAAAATTGTTTTGATGTGTCCCAGGGATGGAGCTGGGTGCTCACAAGGACTTGGRAATTTTACCCCAACTCCCCTAGAAAGGTGAGGCTTGAGTAGAGGGAAGCAGCCATTTAAAGTGCTCACTTTTTTTGGGAGAAAATATTAATAGAGAGCAATTTTCTGTGCTGCAAGACATATGTGGCTGTGCTCCTGCAACTAGTGGAGCCTTGGCTGGCACTTTGGGCATTAATCTTCTCATTTTATTTAATCCTCAGATTTTGGTAAAGTRTCCTGATTCCAAAGCCATCCCATTTGTGGAAGGACAGTGTGTTCAGAACAGCAGAGCAGTCTCTAGATTTAATGAGAACATCATTGGTTTTGAGGAGCCAAAGAATCCCAATGGTAAGATAGAAGAAAAGCAAAAATGGTTGGATAATTAGACATCAAAACTGAGCTGAGACCTATTTCCTTTTCTACTCCTAATACCACTTAGTTATGACTGTAGTGACTCCTTAATTTTATTTCTTCAAAATGTAATGCAGCAAGAATGAATGATGTATAGGCCAGCTTCATTCTTGTAAGGAAATAGTTTCCACTAAATATTTTCTATTTAAATAGAAATGGTTTCTATCTATAGTTTATATTCTGTTTTCCTAATAGTTTCTATATTAAAAGGGTTGAGACTTGGAAATAAATAGGGGGAACAGACTTCCACATTATTATTTGTGAATTTTGGACAATGCTGACTTTCTTGAGGGGAAAATGTTGTGCCTGACTTGCATTCTACTAAAATATAAGAAAATTCAGGCCAGTGTTAATTAAAATCAGTTTAACTCCTAAAAGGCAGGCATTTCAGAAATTTGTGGGTTTATTTATATTTGATTAAAGAATTTTAAAACAAACCTTCCCAAAGCCATGAGGAGGAGAGTTTTGTGCCTCATCAGGAATGATGTAACCTTGCAGAACAGGGATGTTCTGCTGGACCTGCTCATTCTTGGTCTTTGTGTAGAGAAAAGCATGGTGGCATCTCCTGCCACACTTTCTCTTAGGTGACACCAATCTGTCACTTTTGATTTTCTTGATGTCCTCTGGAGCTGCCTTGCTTGGCTTGCTTTCTTCTTAGAAAACTGGGCATGTTTGCTGCTGGAATCCTCTTACTAGACAGAGCGAACTGGATTAGTCACTTGAGCTTCCTGATTAATGCATGGCTCTGTGCTGCTGCAAGCACTCTGATGTGAAGAAAATGCTGCAGTGAGGGATGAGGGCAAACACTGCTCTGTGCTCTCATTTATTTTTTAGAGTCTGTTTAGACAATAGCAATGCCATAAATTGGGATTTCTGTAGTATCMTTCTTTCTTCAAGGCTCCTCACGGTCTGTTGTGTAGTGGGTAGAAGTATTAGGATTAAAGCAAGGTTATTTCTGCCTCTGTAGGGACTTAAAATAACTAAACTTGTTCCAATTCATTTGATATTAAAACTGGCATAATTGAATAAAAAGTCCTGACATGGAAGATCAAAGGAGGAACAACTTCACTTTTGGTTCAAAGGGCTGCAAGAGTGGATTGGAAGGTTATACCAATCAAAATTCCAGWATTATTTCAGTAATTAGGAGGAGACTAGTTGTCTTGCACAATTAGATGGTATTACTGTAAAACTTCATATACAGAAGTGCAAATATAAATATTTAGAAGTAGTTTCTGATGAATCACTTCAAAAATCAGTTGTAAGATGAAGTTGTCTTTACCCCAGMAGTGATGAGTTACTTCAACTTTTGAAGTGAGTTACTTCACAACTTCTCAGAGTGTAATCCCTCTGAACAGCACTAATGGGAAGTTTTTGGCCCAAAATCGAAAAGTCCAGCTTCATTTCTGACAAAAGACACTTTGGGCTCTTCCATAAGTGTAATAACTCCTTGGTGTTAGGAATTAATGCCTGTGATTCCAGCAGTTTGGAAATGGGGATATCTTGTAACATTTCYTCCTGCATTTGTGGTGTTCTAAAAGTGAGTAGTAAGCTCTAAGCCMTGTTTTTCTTTCATAGATTGATCAGTATCAAGAATAAATTTTGCCCATCATAACCTTGRTGTGTGCTCCAGAAAAAAGGGGCAATGCCCTTGTGCATTTTTGGGAGCAATTCTTTCCTGGATCTGACAGCCTGAATTATAGGAATACCCAGCATCCCAGGGKTTCCCCRCWAGCTGAAAGGTAACCTGGCCTTCCSTTGGATTTGGCAGGGAGGTWACAAAATAAACAATGGAGAGACACAAGTTCTGTGCTGCAGGCACTGACTTATGTTCCATTGGAATGCTGCCATGGACTAGTGGGAACAGTAATTGGTCATGCAACCAAGGAAATGCATTATTAATGGGACARTGTTTGAGCAGGGGGAGATAAGATAAAGACTGAGTTACTTTCTTGATGCTGGTCTTGTTTATTCCCAATTACAGAGGAATCACTGTGGCTTCAGGAACATCATAAAAGCCAGAAMTTTATTGCATGGAGTTCAGCACTTGAAACCATGCCAGGTACTCAGTATCCCAAGCAAGCCAGTAATTCCCAATTTGTATTTACAGAGTTGTTCTGCAAAGGGTGGGAGCAGAGAGAAGTGGATACATGGAACTCTTCAAAGCCTTAATAGTAATAATACAATTARCAGTATAAWTCTAATGCAGGCATAGGGRTGGTAAATAGAGCAGGAAGAGTGARGGGACAGCAGTTTTAAGAATATCAACATGAAGAAATTTACTTGTAGTTGTTTATTTGGARCTGCAGAAAAAGACACCACTGGAAATGAGTTGTGGGGTGGGCAGCATCAAGAGAAAATGGGGTGGCTGGGGAAGAGGGCCTTGGTGGAAGAGGATCTGAAAATGCATTCAGAAGCAAAAGCTCAGGAGATGTTTGGAGCGTGAGAAGAGAGGCCAGTGGTTTATCAACTGATAAAAGAATGGTCAGTTTAGGTGGCAGCACTTGGGTGCGGTGGGCAGATCACAGCAGGGGATGTTTGAGATTTGCTGTGAGTCTTGTTCAGCTGTTGCTGATGTTTTGTATTTTCTCCCTGTTTAAAAACAACCAACCTCAAACTTTTCTTAAATGTACATTCCTGAACTCTACAACTGTTGTACTGCTGTGAATTCTGCTTGCTTGGGAGAGAAATCTCAGTACCAGGTAGGAAAACACCACTGAATTGTRTGAGGGGCTCTAACAGTAACATCTCTTCCCAGAAATAACTGTCTGCTGTCAGGAAACAGGCAGACAAAAAATTTGCAGACCAAGTTAAAACTCATTAATGACCCACAATATAACTCGGAGAGAAAAAAAAACCTGTGCAGTTATCTAAGTTCGCTGACACTTTGGAAACAAAATGATGACTAAATAGTAATGTGTGCTCCAAAGAATGAGTGATATACCAAGATGAATAGGATTTAGGCACTATTTGTCACAGTTAAGCCGTAGCCTGAATACCATAATGCTGATTCCTTAAATTCATTATGCAGCCAGTATAATCTAGCAGGCARCAATGTGCCTGTGAGAAGGAAGAAACTATTTCCATTGTTTTAAACTGAACTRTGAGCACAGAGTGATTGACAAGATTGGACTTTGTCTTATTTCTAAGATACCACCCCAACATTTGTAACAACACTTGTGTGAAGCAAAGTGTTAAACCCACTGAGTTCCTACATTTTGCTGTTTAAAGTAGTAATCATAGTGTATTTATCTGATGGATACAGAGGGATATCATTCCATACATGTAAGAAGTGTGGGTGATGCTTCCATCATCCCTGTTTAAAGATGACAGTGTGGGGGTGTTTCCAGCTTCTGTTTATGTGACTGGGATTTATTTGTCCTGTGGAATAAATAATAATTATTTTTTCTGGTGCTAATACCCCTGAGGTTCCTGAGAGCAGCCTCACAGCACTGCACACAATTATTTGTAGAAATTAYCACTAAACTAATGCACTTGAAACAAGGATTCAGAAAAGAAAATAGATCTCCTTGCTGCCTGACCCAGCCATAAATTTCACTCTTTGGGTGGCAGGAAATGTGGCACTCCTGAGCAGTCCTTCARTGGGAATTCTGTAATATTTTGGGAAAAGACAGAAATAGCCACAACTTCTGAAATTTTTGGCTTAGTCAAGGTATGTTTGAAACTCACCCAATG